ACCCTCTTGACCTTCGTTTTTTAAGACCGTTTACAATTGAAAGATTACAACAAATTACCTGAATTTTACAAGAAGGGCGGTCTTACCCCTGGTCCGCGTGAGGCTTACTTGTCCGTCTCCTTTCATAGGTCTCGGTTTCTTCTCGTATCAATCCCTCGTTTCCTGCCCTCCAACCCCTCCCTGTCCCTTCCCACCTAGCTTCCCATAACTGCCCCCCTCCGACCTGACTTGCCTTTGCAAACCACAGCAGCCCCCAACATCTTCCCAGCCTCTGGCGCTGGTGAGAGACCTCGTCCATTCTGATGCCCCCGCTGATCTCTTGCGGGAGCTTAACCCTCTACATACATTCTTCTTCAACCACATCTTTCTTTGATGGACCTCCCACCCACCACATTTGCACTCCTTTTCGAACCTCACTCAAGTCTTCCTTACCCTGCTTCTGTTCATCCATCACCTTGTCATCACCTGACCCTCACATCACTTCCACACCAAGCACCGACTCTTACAAAAAATCCCTTCAGCACAGCCTCCAAAATCCCTCCTGAGCTGATCTCATTATCTAACGGCCTGTCTGACGGCGATTATTCCCTCCCCTCCCTTTTCCACTGGTAGTGCAACACACGTCTCCAAAAGCCCACCCAGCCCAGTCGACCTCCTCACTACATAGGCCTGTACCCCGTCTTCCACTTCATCCGTCAAACATCCGTGGCTTCTAATGGCTATCCACAGCAGCCTGGCTCCCTGACGACTAGGCTCCTGTCCTCCTGGGGCAGTTGTTGCCCCACCATGGTGCACATAAGAGTCACATAAACGGCAACTCCTTCCTCGCCCCGCATAGTTGAACAAAAAAACCTGTGTTCTATGGTTACTAAAATTAACATATGATGTATCGAGGTCTCTCTCAGGGTCCATTTTCAGTGTGGCATGATCCTTCCGGCATCCCCTCATAAGGCCGTCCCTCCACATTCCCCATGCTCGTCCGAGTGTAACAGTTCCCATAACCACTGAATCACATCTTGATGCAGGTATGCCTGTATGCCTCAAAAGGTACATTCCTTTAATCCTTCCACCCTCAAGTAAATATAATTAGACACATCATGCAAGCAACTTCCACTGCCGATTGATACTCATTCCGTCGTTCTTGAAATTCATCTACATTTAGAGAAGAAGGCACCCTCGGGGGGGGGTGATCTTCACGTAGACCCTTGACATTCATTCAGTAGCCACACCTAACAGCACTTCGTGGGGATGCTCATAAAAAGTCCCTGATAATGCTTGGCAGGAAAAGAAATTCTTCGTGTCGTTGCTTAAAGTTCCTCTAACCATCTGAAGATGGCAACAGTATTAATGCCCCGGTACGAGCGTACCGCCATCTTGGCGCTAATACTATGTTTCCTCACCAGGTGGCGTGCAAGAGGAACCTTATAAGCGTCCTCGTCTCCCCGCAGGTCGAGAGACGAATGACTCACGGGGAATTAATCGGATCTATAAGACCCTCCTTCAGCAGCCGCTGAGTTTTTCCTTCTCAATGAACACCCGATTCCTCATAAGAAAAGCGGCGTGACTTAGCTGTATAGGATGGCAATCCGCGTAAGATTTGCAAACAGCTTTGGTGTCTACCCTTTAAAGTGCTAATCCATCAGACAACCAGAGAGGTAGTTTCACCTCCATATGTTAAGGTGACACTACCATGCAGCTTCTGAAAGTCCTGACCAAGGATAACATCAGAGCACAGATTTGGCAGAATAGCGAAATGTACACTTGATAATCCTCCATTAACTCTGAGATTTACCTTACAAAACCCTAATGTCTGAATAGAGTAGAAGTTGATGCCCATGGAAAACGGGTAACCTGATGATGATGTACAGTCAAGAGTGGTCGTTTTAACTATGTCAAGTTGAGAAAACTCTCTGAGCTGCCACTATCAATAAAGACCATCTAGTACTTCTGTCCCTTTGATGGAATAACTTCCACAACTGGCCTTTGACAGTGAATTTGAGTAGCTGCAGCAGTCACTGAGTTCTAGAGTCGCATGATCACTGAGGAATGTGTGGAGCATCAGCTCATGTTTGATGCATTAGCACGACAACTTTTAGGGCAAATGTGACCTATTCCCCTTGTGGCATTATATGGCACATTGCTTCACGTCAGGACACTTTGGACGTGGATTCTTGAAAAAACCCAAAAGAAACCACACTGTACCTGCTTGCTGCTGTCATGAGGCAGGTTTCCTCCACAGTAACTTCATTGCAAGATTCTTGGTCAGGAATTGCAGCACTTACAACTTCTGAGAAGGCTGAGTGGTACTGTATACTTCCAGAATTCTTCTGGGCCTGAATCTAGAGCTCTTGCCTGGGTCGAAGTCATTGGCTAAGTCCAGAGAGAGTTTATTCTCCAATACACGCTGCCTTATTACTGGTGATTGCAGGTCACGAAAACGCATCCCCTGATGGACTCTTCAAAATACGAGCAGCTGACACGCTTGGAAGTACAGTCCCTACCTAAAATTTTCGTGCCTTGAAGTAATCCTCTAGGATCATCATCTCGGGCGGCGAGTTGCAAGGCGATAGCTTGCAAGATTTCATTTGTAGGTTTAAATATACTCACAATTTACAAAGGTATGAACTCACAATTTACAAAGGTAATGAACTCACAATTTACAAAGGTAATGAACTCCAGGTAAGTCTGGTCACAATCATGACAAGTTACAAAGGTATTTACAGATTACAGAGGTACGTAATGGGTACAGGGACTGGGCCCCCAAAGTTTTGATAGCCGAACTAGGTACAAAGGTAATGAGCTCACAAGTTACAAAGGTAATGAATTCTGTAGAATGGTTACTTACGTTTATACTTTGGCTACAATCATGAACAAATTATAGAGTAATGAGCAATTCACACTTCCACACCCGGTCACAACTGTAATGAGTTATTGGTGCAAATATTGACTGTTGAGTCACACACACCACACACACACACACACACACACACACACACACACTTTAGTTTGATATCTTTATGCACCCCATACCCATCCTGTGGGCGGTAGTCAAAAGATTACAAAGGTACATAATGGGTCCAGTGACTGGACCCCAAAGTTATGATAGCTGAACTAGTTACAAAGGTAATGAACTCCAGGTAGATCTGGTCACTAATCATGGCAAGTTACAGAGGTAATGAATCAGCTTCACTCCTATACATGGTTACAGTCATGAACAAATTACAAAGTAATGAACCACTGATACCTCCACACCTGGTCACAATTGGCTGGCTTTAGACCCTGTATATTTGCAAAGAAGAATGTTATCGGACTGGTGGTATTGTTGGTACTAGGGGGGGGGATTTTTTTTCCGGCATTAGTATCTGTATCTGTTGGTTTGGAGTGGAGGCCATCGACTGTGGTTCCACTCCAGGAATGACTGGATTTGGTGTACGATTTCTGCCATTTCCTGCCAGTTTTTTTTTCCTTCCTGGCACTAAAAAACCTCTCCCTCTTGAGTGGCTGTGGCTACCCAGGTTTTCCCATGGCCTGGATGTTTTGTATCTTTTTGTCCCCTTTAGATGGTATGCCTGGCAATTTAAGTTATAGCACAGTCTTTCCTGTACTGAAGAGGTACACATTTCAGGGTGAAAAAGCTTACAGGAAGGGAGTTTGCATTTTCCTGTTGTCATATTGGCATGGCATTTTCTAGGGTGGTCATAGTTGCATGTCCCATCTGTTTTTCCAGATTTCCCATGCCAGCAGATACCAAGTGCATAGTATGTGCACAGGCTTGGTTTCCGCTTGCCTTGGGTTTCTGTGACTGTATTCCCTGTTGGTGCATGTTTCCCTGTCTTACTTCTATCCTCCCTAGCACCAACAATGGAGCTCCCACCAGTTGTTTTTGGTAATTTATCCTCACTATTGCTATTTGAGTCCTCTTGTTTGCTATTTCCTGCGGTATTTCTAGTTTGCAATATTGGTTTTATCTTATCTTTGACTACACTTGTTTCCCTACTATGGCTCCTGTCCCCTATGAGGTCATTTATGTATTCCTTCCTGCGCATAATTCACGACTACCTGGACAAAATCTCCAGCTTCACCATTACTGTCTCCCAGGACAGTATCTCCAGCTTCACCATTACTGTCTCCCAGGACAGTATCTCCAGCTTCACCATTTCTGTCTCCCAGGACAGCACCTCCAGCTTCACCATTACTGTCTCCCAGGACAGCACTATCAGCCCCACATTTACTGACTACCAGGACATCACCTCCAGCCTTACAGTTTGTGACTACATGGCCAGTATCAAGGGCAGTACCATTCAGCCCAGACTTTTTATGTTCCCATCTGTTGTAGAAAGCTTCCAGGTTTTCTATGAAAGCAGATTTGATGTTGTCCTCTTTTAATACCCTTGTGATTTTAGTCCACAGATTTTCCTCATTTGGGCATACCCAAAAACACTTCTCTGTTTTAATACTGCTTGTAGCTAGTTCTGGGATATCTGCACAAGGGGCGTGACACCAATTTCCACAAAAATGACAATTTATCCATGTGGAAGCCCGTTTGTTTGACTGACCACAGACTACACACAGCTTCATAATGATTTGAATGGTTGATTTACTGCAATTCTACTAGCAACCTCTTGAATATTATATTAATAACCTTAAATGAAGCTCTAGCTATTTGTATTTCTGTTTCTAACTCTTTTTGTATATTGGACAGCTTACCGTCACGTTCCTGATTTTTAATGTTTGTGTTTATAAGGGCGCCTACAACCCCATCCGTTTACAGTCTGCAGACTTAGTTTATCTAGATCTTTTTTAGGAAGGGCTCCCAAGAAGTTTTCGAAAGTCTTAAACCAGTGCTTCCATTCCTGAGCAGCCATTGATAAGCTGGGGTCACAGTCTAGCCTCTCAGGTTTCAGTAAACGCTCCATGTTGTGATGTAATCTAGCGCAGGATCACCACCAGGTAGCCCAGGATTCTATGTTCAATAAATTGTTGTGATAGAAACACAGGCCTTATCTCTAGGCTTTATTGAACATAGAATCTTCATAGTACTTCTGCAACAACAAAATATAATGACTAGTACATCTAATAATGGCTTCTACAGGGATGGTGATGTCTTGCATATGTCAAGAGAAAAGTTATAACTACAGGCCACATATTTAAACTCACCATGTAATCTGCATCACTAATATATTGATGTAAAAGAAGAGAATCACACACAATGTGTTGGCGCCCATGACACACACCAAACTGTTGTTGTTGTTAAGGGCCCCGAGAGGTGGTGCAGTATTATCCTGTTGCTGCTCCCCACAGGAGCAGTATCACTACAACAAGTTTACATGTGTATCCATGAGCGTGTGCTTACTATAAGTACATAAGTAGCTTGTGCTGCTAGCTAGTACCTGGCAGTTGAAGCTAGTTAGTACCTGGCAGGTGAAGCTAGTTAGTACCTGGCAGGTGAAGCTAGTTAGTACCTGGCAGGTGAAGCTAGTTAGTACCTGGCAGGTGAAGCTAGTTAGTACCTGGCAGGTGATGCTAGCTAATACATGGCAGGTGCTGCTAGCTATACCCTTGCAGGTACTGCTAGCTAGTACCCGGCAGGTGCTGCTAGCTAGTACCTGGAGGGTGCTGCTAGCTAGTATCATTGAGATTATGCTAGCTAGTACCAAGGAGGTTGTGCTAGTCAGTACCTGGGAGGTTGTGCTAGCAGTACCTGGGAGGTTGTACTAGCCAGTACCTGGGAGGTTGTGCTAGCCCGTACCTGGGAAATTGTGCTAGCCAGTACCTGGGGCGTTGTGCTAGCCAGTACCTGGGACGTTGTGCTAGCCAGTACCTGGGAAATTGTGCTAGCCAGTACTTGGGGCGTTGTGCTAGCCAGTACCTGGGAGGTTGTGCTAGCCAGTGCCTGGGACGTTGTGCTAGCAAGTACCTGGGATGTTATGCTAGCCAGTATCTGGGAGGTTGTGCTAGCAAGTACCTGGGACGTTGCGCTAGCTAGTACCTGGGAGGTTGTGCTAGCCAGTACCTGGGAAATTGTGCTAGCCAGTACCTGTGGCGTTGTGCTAGCCAGTACCTGGGAGGTCGTGCTAGCCAGTACCTGGGACGTTGTGCTAGCCAGTACTTGGGACGTTGTGCTAGCCAGTACCTGGAACGTTGTGCTAGCCAGTACCTTAGACGTTGTGCTAGCCAGTACCTGGGAAGTTTTGCTAGCCAGTACCTGGAACGTTGTGCTACCAAGTACCTGGGAAGTTGTTCTAGCCAGTACCTGGAAGGTTGTGCTAGCCAGTACCTGGGACGTTGTGCTAGCCAGTACCTGGAACGTTGTGCTACCAAGTACCTGGGACGTTGTGCTAGCCAGTACCTGGGAGGTTGTGCTACACAGTACCTGGGAGATTGTGGTAGCCAGTATCTGTGTCTGACTAATACACGACAGTAAACAGACTGTCTTCGATCATGTCTTTTCTCTATTCACATTTCTCCGATTTTACGGCCATCCAATCAATTCAAATTCAATTCAAAGTTTATTCTCTATAAGGATTACAATGCTGAGTTTACAGAAATTTGGTTATTGTGTGGTTTACATGTTGTAAAATAGTGATTACAGAGTGTACCACTAGAACGCTTAGCATGGCTAGGCATTTCGGGCAGACTTAGTTTTATTCTTAATTGTAACATATTACAAATTATGAGGCAAGTTGGTATTATGGCTAAGTGACTAAATACTACTTTGTGAGTTTAGCAATGTGAATGCTTTTGTTTTGGCACAGTACATAGTTTCAGGCTGGAATATTGCTGCACTCTAACAGCACCTTTCAAGGCAGGTGAAATTGCCGACCTAGAAAATGTACAGAGAACTTTCACGGCGCGCATAACGGAGATAAAACATCTCAATTACTGGGAGCGCTTGAGGTTTCTAAACCTGTATTCCCTGGAACGCAGGAGGGAGAGATACATGATTATATACACCTGGAAAATCCTAGAGGGACTAGTACCGAACTTGCACACGAAAATCACTCACTACGAAAGCAAAAGACTTGGCAGACGATGCAACATCCCCCCAATGAAAAGCAGGGGTGTCACTAGCACGTTAAGAGACCATACAATAAGTGTCAGGGGCCCGAGACTGTTCAACTGCCTCCCAGCACACATAAGGGGGATTACCAACAGACCCCTGGCAGTCTTCAAGCTGGCACTGGACAAGCACCTAAAGTCAGTTCCTGATCAGCCGGGCTGTGGCTCGTACGTTGGTTTGCGTGCAGCCAGCAGCAACAGCCTGGTTGATCAGGCTCTGATCCACCAGGAGGCCTGGTCACAGACCGGGCCGCGGGGGCGTTGACCCCCGAAACTCTCTCCAGGTAAACTCCAGGTAAGTATTGGAATATCACAGGATTCATTATTTTAAGATTGAGATTAATATTTCTGTTTATGGTCAAATGAGTGAGTGAGTGTAAGTGTGAACCACCAGGTGGTATTCGTGTAGTTAGTTGACGGGGTGTATCAGGGAGATAAGATGTTTTCTAATGGTAGTTTTGAAGTTGATGAATGTGTCTGCAGTTCTAGAGTTCTCAGGTAGGGTATTCCAGATTTTAGGGCCTTTGACATACATTGAATTTTTGTAAAGGTTTAGTCGGACACGGGGAATGTCGTAGAGATGTTTGTGTCTGGTGTTATGCCTGTGGGTTCTGTCACAACTATCAAGAAAGCGTTTTAGGTCAAGGTTGATATTAGAGTTTAAGGCCCTGTAGATGTAGATTGCACAGTAGTAAGTGTGGATGTACTGAACAGGGAGTAAGTTTAGGTCTATGAAGAGTGGGGGGGTGTGTTGCCAGGGATGGGATTTAGTGATTATTCTTACTGCAGCTTTTTGTTGGGTTATTATTGGCTTTAGGTGTGTTGCTGCAGTTGATCCCCAAGCACAAATAGCATAGGTGAGGTATGGATAAATAAGTTAGTGGTATAGTGTGAGAAGGGCATTTTGCAGCACGTAATATCGTATCTTGGAGAGGATCCCAACCGTTTTGGATACTTTTTTGGTTATATGATGGATATGGGTGCTGAAATTCAGGTTTTTGTCAAGGTATAACCCGTACACCTCACTGCCACTCAGGTGCCTCTCTGATTGCACAAACTCCTGTCATAGCACTCAGGTGTACACCTGCAGTGACCCAGGTCCACTCAGGAGCTTCTCTGATTGCACAAACTCCTGCCAGTGCACTCAGGTGTACAACTGCAGTAACACAGGTCCCAGACTATGAACTTTTCAGAAACACTTTATTTTTCCATTTTAGTTTGTGCCGATTTCACATCAGTTGGTTCACGAGTGTCAGGTTTACTGCGAGGAATAGGGTGGTGGTCCCTATTTCTTGGTGGTCTTACTCCTGAGTCATGGGTGTGAAGACTAGGGAGAGGTCTTCAGAGGGTCTCATGAGACCAGGGACTTCACTAAGAGTGAGGGAGTCTTTGCCAGGGACACAAGTCATCTCGTAGTGTAGCAGTATCTTGGCCAGCACTAACTTGGCCTCCATCAAGGCGAACCTCATTCCTGTAATGTTTATTATATCATTATTAATAGCAATTAATAGTAGTAAGATGACACAGGTACAAGATGACATAGGTGTTAGGTGACACATGTGTAACATGACACATGTGTAAGATGACACACAGTTTTAAGATGAGTTACGATAAAGCTGAAGGAGCAGGGAGAGACCTAGAAGCGATCAGTGAAGAAGCGGGGCCAGGAGCTGAGTCTCGACCCCTGTAACCACAATTAGGTGAATACACAGGTGAAAGATAACACAAGTACAAGTTGACACGTGTGTAAGATGATACAGGTACAAGTTGACAGTGTAAGATGACAGGTACATGATGACACTGGCGTAAGATGACACATGTGTAAGATCACACATGTGTAAGATGAGACATGTATAAGATGACACAGGTACAAGTTGACACACGTGTAAGATGACACAGGTATAAGTTAACACAGGTGTAAAATTACAGAGGTACATGACGCTGGTGTAAGATGACACATGTGTAAGAAGACACATGTACAAGATGACACAGGTGTTTGATGACATAGGTACATGACACAAGTGTAAGATGACACAGGTGTAAGATGTCACATGTGTAAGATGACACAGGTGTAAGATGACACAGGTGTAAGATGACACAGGTGTAAGATGACACAGGCACAAGATGACATTGGTGTAAGATGACACAGGTGTAATAGACACTGGTGTAAGATGACACAGCTGTAAGATGACACTGGTGTAAGATGACATTGGTGTAAGATGCCGGAAAAAAATCCCCCCCCCCAGTACCAACAATACCACCAGTCCGATGACATTCTTCTTTGCAAATATACAGGGTCTAAAGCCAGCAACAAACAACAAAATACCTTTCATCCGTGGACTGCTTGTAGAGGCAAAGGCAATGTTCGCGGCTTTCACTGAGACCCACATAAAGGATCACTTGGACAACGAAATATGGATCCCAGGTTACAACCTATACAGATGTGACAGAGTGAACAGGCAAAAGGGGGGGGGTTGGCCTGTACATTGCAGAGTCACTTGTTTGCACAGAACTGCTAAATGCCTCAAATGATGTAGTGGAAGTTTTAGCAGTAAAGGTCGAGAACCAAAACCTAGTCATTGTGGTAGTCTACAAGCCTCCGGATGCAATATCCCAGCAATTCCAGGAACAGCTGTTAAAAATTGACCACTGTCTGGAAAATCTTCCAGCTCCTGCACCCAACATCTTGCTCCTGGGGGATTTCAACTTAAGGCACCTAAAATGGAGGAATATAGCAAATAATATTGTTGCAGTAATAACACCAGGAGGCAGCTCTGATGAAAACTCACACTCACACGAGCTTTTAAATCTCTGCACAAAATTCAATTTAAACCAGCAAATAATAGAGCCTACTAGACTGGAGAATACACTAGACCTCATCTTCACTAACAATGATGATCTGATAAGAAATGTCACAATGTCAAAAACAATATACTCAGATCACAACATAATTGAGGTTCAGACATGTATGCATGGAGCCCCAGACCGACATAATGAGACTAGTCACGAGGGAGCATTCACCAAATTCAACTTCAATAACAAAAACATAAAGTGGGACCAAGTAAACCAAGTCCTAACCGATATAAGCTGGGAAGATATACTAAGCAACACAGACCCCAACTTATGCCTAGAACAGATTAACTTGGTGGCACTCGATGTATGCACAAGGCTTATTCCTCTAAGAAAAAGGAGGAGTAGATGTAAAATAGAAAGAGACAGGCGCTCCCTTTACAGGCGACGGAAAAGAATAACAGAGCGGCTAAAAGAGGTCAATATATCTGAAATGCGTAGGGAGACACTGGTCAAAGAAATAGCAAGCATCGAACTTAAGCTAAAGGAATCTTATAGGAGTCAGGAATCGCGGGAAGAACTATAAGCCATAAATGAAATCGAAAGAAACCCAAAGTATTTCTTCTCCTATGCCAAATCAAAGTCGAGAACAACGTCCAGTATTGGGCCCCTACTTAAACAAGATGGGTCCTACACAGATGACAGCAAGGAAATGAGTGAGCTACTCAAGTCCCAATATGACTCAGTTTTTAGCAAGCCGCTAACCAGACTGAGAGTCGAAGATCAAAATTAATTTTTTATGAGAGAGCCACAAAATTTGGTTAACACAAGCCTATCCGATGTTATCCTGACGCCAACAGGCGATAAATGACATGCCCATGCACTCTGCCCCAGGGCCAGACTCGTGGAACTCCGTGTTCATCAAGAACTGCAAGAAGCCCCTATCACGAGCCTTTTCCATCCTATGGAGAGGGAGCATGGACACGAGGGTCGTCCCACAGTTACTAAAAACAACAGACATAGCCCCACTCCACAAAGGGGGCAGTAAAGCAACAGCAAAGAACTACAGACCGATAGCACTAACATCCCATATCATAAAAATCTTTGAAAGGGTCCTAAGAAGCAAGATCACCACCCATCTAGAAACCCATCAGTTACACAACCCAGGGCAACATGGGTTTAGAACAGGTCGCTCCTGTCTGTCTCAACTATTGGATCACTATGACAAGGTCCAAAATGCACTAGAAGACAAAAAGAATGCAGATGTAATATATACAGACTTTGCAAAAGCCTTCGACAAGTGTGACCATGGCGTAATAGCGCACAAAATGCGTGCTAAAGGAATAATAGGAAAAGTCGGTCGATGGATCTATAATTTCCTCACTAACAGAACACAGAGAGTAGTCGTCAACAGAGTAAAGTCCGAGGCAGCTACGGTAAAAAGCTCTGTTCCACAAGGCACAGTACTCGCTCCCATCTTGTTCCTCATCCTAATATCCGACATAAACAAGGATGTCAGCCACAGCACCGTGTCTTCCTTTGCAGATGACACCCGAATCTGCATGACAGTGTCTTCCATTGCAGACACTGCAAGGCTCCAGGCGGACATCAACCAAATCTTTCAGTGGGCTGCAGAAAACAATATGAAGTTCAACGATGAGAAATTTCAATTACTCAGATATGGTAAACACGAAGAAATTAAATCTTCATCAGAGTACAAAACAAATTCTGGCCACAAAATAGAGCAAAACACCAACGTCAAAGACCTGGGAGTGATCATGTCGGAGGATCTCACCTTCAAGGACTATAACATTGTATCAATCACATCTGCTAGAAAAATGACAGGATGGATAATGAGAACCTTCAAAACTAGGGAGGCCAAGCCCATGATGACACTCTTCAGGTCACTTGTTCTATCTAGGCTGGAATATTGCTGCACACTAACAGCACCTTTCAAGGCAGGTGAAATTGCCGACCTAAAAAATGTACAGAGAACCTTCACGGCGCGCATAACGGAGATAAAACACCTCAATTACTGGGAGCGCTTGAGGTTCCTAAAACTGTATTCCCTGGAACGCAGGCAGGAGAGATACATGATTATATACACTTGGAAAATCCTAGAGGGACTAGTACCGAACTTGCACACGAAAATCACTCACTACGAAAGCAAAAGACTTGGCAGACGATGCACCATCCCCCCAATGAAAAGCAGGGGTGTCACTAGCACGTTAAGAGACCATACAATAAGTGTCAGGGGCCCGAGACTGTTCAACTGCCTCCCAGCATACATAAGGGGGATTACCAACAGACCCTTGGCAGTCTTCAAGCTGGCACTGGACAAGCACCTAAAGTCGGTTCCTGACCAGCCGGGTTGTGGCTCGTACGTTGGTTTGCGTGCAGCCAGCAGCAACAGCCTGGTTGACCAGGCTCTGATCCACCAGGAGGCCTGGTCACAGACCGGGCCGCGGGGGCGTTGACCCCTGGAATTCTCTCCAGGTAAACTCCAGGGTGACACTGGTGTAAGATGACACAGGTACAAGATGACAGGCGTAAGATGAGAAAGCTGTAAGATGACACTGGTGTAAGATGACACTGGTGTAAGATGACACATGTGTAAGATGACACATGTGTAAGATGACACATGTGTAAGATGACACAGGTGTAAGATGACACAGGTGTAAGATGACACAGGTGTAAGATGACACTGGTGTAAGATGACACAGGTGTAAGATGACACTGGTGTAAGATGACACAGGTGTAAGATGACACTGGTGTAAGATGACACAGGTGTAAGATGACACTGGTGTAAGATGACACAGGTGTAAGATGACACTGGTGTAAGATGACACAGGTGTAAGATGACACTGGTGTAAGATGACACAGGTGAAATATGACACTGGTGTAAGATGACACGGGTGTAAGATGACACTGGTGTAAGATGACACAAGTGTAAGATGACACAAGTGTAAGATGACACAGGTACAAGATGACATTGGTGTAAGGTGACACAGGTGTAATATGACACTGGTGTAAGATGACACAAGTGTAAGATAACACAGGTACAAGATGACACTGGTGTAAGGTGACACAGGTGTAATATGACACTGGTGTAAGATGACACTGGTGTAATATGACACTGGTGTAATATGACACTGGTGTAAGATGACACTGGTGTAAGATGACACAGCTGTAAGATGACACTGGTGTAAGATAACACTGGTGTAAGATGACAATGGTGGCACTTGGCCTGGTGGCTAAAGCTCTCGCTTCACACGGCAAGTGTCTGAGTTCGATTCCCAGCGCAGGTAGAAACATTGGGCGTGTTTCTCTACACCGGTTGTCTATGTTCACCCATCAGTAAACTGGGTACCTAGAAGTTAGTCGACTGGTGTGGGTCGCATTCTGGGACAAAGGCTCAGCATAACAAGAGGCTTTCTATATAGTAGTATGTCATGTACTTGTACTAAATAAAGACATTATTATTATTATTATTATTATTATTATTATTATTAATTATTATTATAGGCGTAAGATGACACATGTGTAATTTGACACAGGTACAAGTATGCAGCACCGGTTTGGAACCCACACTTAATCAAGCACGTCAAGAAATTAAAGTGCAAAGGTTTGCGACAGAAAGGTTAAGGGAAATCGGCTTGACGACACTGGAGGACAGGAGAG